TGCACTAACTGCCCTCCCTCGCTGGCCGCCTCTTTCTTGGATGGCGCACTGAGCTCCCCTCTTCTCGTGCAAGGGCATAGATGAGTGATACGGGAAGGGAGCAGCTTGCACGACTGCCTGGTGAGTAATCGAACGCAGGGAATCCAGCACCTTCTAACTGGAGCACAAACAATTCCCATGTTTCTTTCCAAAGAAAGAAAGAAAGAAAGAAAGAAAGAAGGGGGCTCTCTGTTATTTCCTACAGACGGAGGTTGCACTGAATTAACTGAAATCAGTGCAAAACCAATGCAGTTAAACGGGTGCATATTTGTGCTTGGCCATTTCATGCCGTTTAAACTCCGTTCCCTCCGTTTCGTAGATTCTCTTGCTTTCTCTGTCTCTGGGGAGAGAATCACACCTACAGGCCTGGTCCATACACACAAGTGTGTAGCTAGCTCGGTATAAGGAAAGCGGTACAGTCCTCCGTGGTGGTGGGGTAGTTGTACTAGTGTAAGCATGCTTCTAACAGAAGAGCTATGGGGGAAGAGGATTAAGCTATACTGGTAGGTTATAGGGCACCTTTATACCAGCAATACTGTGTCCACCAGGGGTTGTACTGGTGTAACGGTCAGTAAAAATCACACCCCTAACTGAGATAGTTAGAGTAGGACAAAAATCTGTGTGTCAACTCCACCAGGCCTTAGTTAAACTGCTACAAGTTTGTGTTTATCATTAGACCAGCCCTTAATCCAATGAATTGCAAGCTACCCTGCTTTCCTACTCCGCTCGCTGCTTGGCTGTGCGTCTCCAGGTGAGGCCAAATCACCCACCGAATAGTCACAGGTCACCTAGTGACCGTGCCATGCACAGAGATTCTACAGCTGCCCATTCTCCCTGGACGCCATCCCAACTCCCCCTCTCCGCCACAGCAGGCCAAAGGAAAATTCCATGCCGCTGAAAATCCCAGCTTGGTACCTTGCCCCACACCTGCCCCCTCCAGCTGCCGCTTGCCAAGCCCTCAAGCCCTTTGCATGGAAAACATTTGAGACTCTTTGCCTTTGACATGGAGAGGCACGAGGAGGGACCACGTTGGATTTAGGGACAGGGCACTGGAAACAGGCATGATCCAAACAGGACGTCACAGAGGAGCCGTGACATCTCACATCCGTGTCAACAAGGGGACGTGAGCTCGTCGGGAGAGAGCCTGGACACTCCCAGCTTTGTCACTGCTTTGCTCTATGACCTTGGGCAAGTCATAGACCCGCTCCGTGCCTCAGTTTCCCCACCTATAAAACAAGGAGGATGACACTGACCTGGAGGCGTAATGGGCCTAATTCTTTTCTCACCTATGCTGGGGTAAAAGTGGAGTAACTCGATTGACATCAGAGGGGTCACACGGGTGTGAGGCACGTATGATGCCAGCCTTCTGTTTGTAAAGGGCTTTGAGATCCTCAGACAAAAGGTGCTACTGAAGGGCAAGATAAATATTACCCAAAGCACGGTGCAAGGTTTACCCTGCCCAGGCCTCGTTTTCCATTGCCTCGCTCCTTGGGCAGCTGCCCACCCCAGTGCAAAGTGGGCAGAGGGGGACATTTTCTAATGGGCTTAGGTGACTTAGGTGCCTAAATCCCACTGGCTTTCTCCATGCAATGCTCCTTCTTGTATGGGAATAAACAACACTGTTCTAAGGCAACTTCTTACCACTAGAACAGCTGGCACGCCAGGGGTTATACTGATTTAACTAGCCTGGGAGAGCCGCAGGGGTAGGGCTTGAGTGTAGACAAGACCTGAGAGAGAGAGAGTGAAACCAGGGAAGCAAAAGAAATTAAGTTGGAGAAAAAGGAAGAGAGAAAACGAAAAAGGGGAGAGAGGATAAACGGGCAAAATTAACCGCTGGTAAATGGGCCCAGATCCTGTTCTGATGTAGATCAGTGACTGATGGCATTGGTGCCAGCTGAGGTTCTGGGGCAAAGGCAGAGAACCCTGCACTCTTTCTGTGCCCCGTGGAAATCTCGCCTCATCCCATTTGTGTCCAGCACCAGCTGTTTTTCCTCAGTGGAATAAGCCCCGGAAAAGGGGCGGTTCCCCTCTTCTGCTCTTACACATGCCTGGCTGCTTCTTGGAAGTGGCTAAATATAAAAGTTCTTGGAAAGCAGCTGGAAAACAGGGCTGAGAGGACATTCCTGCAGGAGAAAGGCATGCGCCGCTCTGTACAGTAAACAGCTCCCGTTTCCCACCCACCTGCCTCCTCTGGCCAGAGCCAACTCCTGCCTTGCCAGAGCCCGCACACACACGACCGCTGCAGCCAGACAATCCAGTCTTTGGCGGTCGATCAAGCGCAGGCCCGGCTGCAGGGACTTGTTCTCGAAGAGGGAGACGAACCACCCGGGATGAATTTCACATGCATGCTCGGTCCCACAGCTGAGCCTTGGGGCTGGGAGCCAGATCCAGGAGGGCCTGGGTGGGTCTCAATCGCCCCGCATTTCGCAGTCTTTCCAGCTCAAGCAGACGTACCCGCCCGGAGCTGGGATCCAGGGAGCACAGTAACCACATTAGTGTAACCACACTGGCACCAACGGCTAGCCGCCGCGAGCCCCTCGGTACGTCGTCAGGCTACGCTGAGCTAGCACCGGAAATGACATCCCCCGTCGGAACGCAGACATCCCCAAGCGACAACGATGCGCTCCCAACGCCCGTTCCGGTCCGAGGGAAGACAAGGCAGTTTGCAGCTGTCCCACCAGTTAGCAGGTCGAGTTAAAGACTACAGGGGAATGTAGGTTTTCCCTCGTCCCGCCAACCACGTGACAACAGCCAACTGCCTCGTCTTCCCACGCATTTTACCTTGAGTTGGGAGCACACCGTTATTCCTAAACCCGGTCTACACTTACAAGTTTTGCCTGCATAGATCAGCTGGTTAGCGTGAAAAATACCCCCCGGAACAACCTAACTGTGCTGGCCAAAGCCCCAGTGTAAACGCAGCTGCTTTCGATCGGGGAGTTGGTATAAGCGATACCGGCAAGAGCCGAAGCTGGATCTCCGCTAGGAGGGTTTGCGACTGGAGGGCTGCCAGGAACGCTCCAGTCAAACCCTCGCGAATAGGCTTGTGGAAGAAGCAGACGTTGACTGAGACAATCCCCGTCCTAAAGCGCTCACAGTCTAGGGCCTGGACTACACACAAAACTGTCCCACTGTAGCTATTCTGGGATAATTAAAGGGGTACAACCCCCCTTGGTGCCTTACACCAGTATAGCTTCTTCCCTTTTCGGGATGGTCTGAGCACCTTTATACTGGTATAACTGCACCCACACTCAGGGGGACTGGGCTGCTTTCATGATCCCATTAAACTAGACTCGTTAAAGCAGCACCCCTTTTGTGCGGAGACACGCCCGTAAAGACAGACAGACTGAAGGTGCAAGGGGAAACTGAGGCACAGAGAGGGGGTAAGTTGCCCAGGGTCCACAGCACAAGCCAGGAATAGGCGTCGTTCAAATCCCACTCAGAAGATCCCACCAGCTCGGACCGCAAAGAACGAGATGGGCTAGCAAAAGACAAATCCTTTTATTCCAACCAACGTGTTTAAAAAGAGACAATGTTAAAAAGCTGCAACAAGTCGACCAAACTTTGATGCCACCTACCGGCCGCGTAGGGACAACAAAGGCTGCTTCTTTTTACACACACACACACACACACACACACACACACACACACACACTCTCTCTCTCTCTCTCTCTGACACAGCTCTGCTCAGAACGCAAAGGAGCAGCCCTGCTTTCGAATTTCTCAACGACA